ATTGGATATTCATCTCAAAAGGAGGGAGAATAAAAATTAAAGAGAACATACCTTTTATTGGAACAAAGCAAAGAAGGAAGATAAGGGATTTGAATTTTGAAGTTACGAAAAAGACAACATTGATTTCTATGCAACCCATTCATTATTTTGTTCATTGACAAACAAGCTAATTGGCTAAATTTGAAATCTTTAAGAGTGTGTCACCGAGTTTGGTGCATTGTGCCTAAATATTGTGCCACATACCCAAGAATATACAGTACCACTAACATTCGCACTTTGAAAAGAACCTCACTAAAAGATAGAAACCTTTCTTAAACCCTCAAATTTATTTAAAAATAATATTTAAACTTTTAAACTAAAAACAAAGTAAATAAGCCTTTCAACTTCACTAATAATGCAAATAAACCTTTCTTATTAATGGGTGTTTATGGTTTTAGGGTGATATTAAATATGAAATACCATTTGATCAGTTTGTGAGATGGATTTATTTATATCATTAGTGAAGTTGAAGGATTTATCTACTTCATTTTTAATTTAGGAACTTAAATATTATTTTGAAATAAGTTTAGGGTTTTTGTCCACTAAAAATCCTTTCACATAGCTCATCAAGAAGAAGGCCTAACTCTAACCGATAATTCGAATACAAATGTCCATTGATTGTGAATAGCCCAATCACTCTTAAGAAAGGCTTCCCTCCAACAGTCCAACTTCTTGGAAGGTTGGCCTCAGAAATGCTTTTGAAAATGATAGTGTGACAATGATGTCGGTCAGACTAAGTAAGATTGGAAAAGTATGCAAATATATCAATCACACGGAAACCAAATTAATTATACTTGATTCATTGTAACATTTTGTTTCCCGTTGTTGCTTCGAGATCACCAATAATCACGCACTAATTTGCTGTTTTCTATTTTTAGTATTTCTTGGTATGTGTCTTAAAAGTAGAAGTTAAGAAGGGTTTTTTTTTAATATTTTTTATTATTAATCTAAATGACAGAAATAAAAGTTTAATGTAATTTTATTAATTGTTTAATTAAAATATTTTACAAAATATTTATATTAAAAATAAATTTTATTTTCTTAATTTTTCATATAAATTAATAAAAAATATATAATAAAACACATTCAAAAATTATTTTTTAGCATACCAAATAATAAACTATAAAATAAAAGATAATTATACCTTTTTTTAATTTTTTTAATCTATCATTTATTTTAAAATTTAAACTTAATATTTTTAATTTAAAATTCAATACTTCCTAACTTTGCATCATGTTCGTAGCACTACCGCCACCACGTCTCAGGGCAAAGACTACCATCAAATCAATATCAACACATCAGATACATTTTGAAGAAATTTTCTGGGTACAAATTAACATGCTGCGCCTTGCGCCGGCGTGATTAATGGTGTCAGTCAATATCGTATTTATACACTAAATTATTGAATCGTAATAATAATAGATAATATATAATAATTATATGATTTCGTATTAGGATTGTTGATTTTTTTTTTTATAATTTAAATAATAATTTTATTATGTACACTTATTTTTTAATAGATTTGGTTTATTTTTTTAGATATAAATTTTACATAAAAATTTAACAATTTAAATAAATAATAATTAAAAATTATTTTCTGTCAACATAGAATTTTTGTTAAGTATTTTTATTTAATAAAAAATTTTAATTTTTATTTATATAATATGTTAAATTTTTATCTAAAATTTATATTTAAAAAGAGAAAAAATCAAATTAAATATATTAAAAATGACAGAGAGAGTAAATAATTTACTTTATATAATTAATTAGATTAAAAAAAATTTCGTTTTATCTTAGCCAATTACTACTAAATTATAAATAAGATATTTAGATTCAATAATTATAATACTAACACTAAGTCATCTATATGGAATTATTGATTATGGGTGCATTTATAATTGTAGTTGAGAGTTTTTTCATATAATTATATAACGCTTTTAGATATATGTGCGTTTAGTAATTTTTTTAAACTGTTCTTTTTAAATACTGTAAAAAATCACAATAGATCTACAGTATTTTTATATATAAAATCGAAAGTTTTATGTTGAAGTTTTTTTATTATGATTTTTATGGAGAACACTTAATATTTAATATAATTACAAAATTACTCATTAAAACTTAATTTTATATAATTTAATTATATTATAATTTATAATATTTTAATAATGATAGCAAATTTAAAAAACCTAAATTATTAAAAAATAATAAATATTATCTATTTTAATAATTATATATCTTACAATATTTTCAAATTTTTAAAATATATTATATTTCATTAATAATATTTTTACTAAATAAATAACTAAATACTAAAATAATTTTCAATCACAATTAAAGCACAGTATAATTCAATATAATTACAATCACAATTATATCTACAGTAATTCCCAACGTAGCCTGCATCTGCTAGATTAATGGTAGAGATGGTTTTGAGTTTTACTTAGGATCAGGACGAAGAGGATTCGAGAAGTTTTACGATTTTACTGAGAAATTCGACTTGTACAACTTGAGGAAACGTAATTGTTAACTCTTTATTTCTGCAATTATTAGGGGTATTGAGTATTTAAGTGTTTGGATTGGATCAAAGTCCAGGGTCCAAATCTATTAGAATTTGGGTTTTAAGATCATTGAATTGAGGCCTAGACTTAAATCTATTGGAATTTGAATTTTAAACTATAATGAGCGGAAATGAGAAAGGGAAAATAATTGGTATTTTATAGGGATTTAAGTGGTTTTAATTTTTAAATCAAAGAAATATAATACAGTATTATAATTCAAATTATATCAAATTGCATTATACTAATTATTGAATAGGTTGAGTTTTTTAATATTAGGGGACCTCCCCCATTTATTGATTTTTGTTTTATAATCTAATACAATTTGGATTAAAAAATATGATTCCTTTTTGAGAAAAGAGAAAATTAAGATGCATTGACGTTAAAAATGTTAGGACGTCTAATCATAATCATTAAATATGTAGAGTATAGTATAAGCTCTAAGTTTACCAAATTCATTATATGACTATTATATCTTGGTATTAAAAATATTAAG